GGGCAGTGTTTCGTTCTGCTGTGCATGGGGTCGCTATGAGTCGGAAACGACTCGACGGCACTTAACAACAACAACAACAACAATCTTTTGAGTTGCCAATTGTCACTTTGATCCCATATAGATAGTCCAAAAGGACATAATGCTTGAGACCTCGGAAGGAAGACTGGACAATGTACCTCCATAGTGATACTGCCTCGGAAACCCAAGGAGAGGTTGTTGTGAGTCGGATCCAACTCAACGGCAGTGAAGGGACTTAAGCTAAACGATTGTTTGGTTTTAAGAAGATTTCAGGGGATCTTTTTGGTTTAAGGTTTAAAGATTATCTCAGGGCAGTAGTTTCAGGGGTTCATCCAGCCTCCATGCTCCGGAAAGTCTGGAGTCCATGAGAATTTGTATTCTGTTCTGCATTTCTTCCTTTTGATTCTTCTGTAGAATCTTTGATCAAAATACTCAGTAATGATTTCTGGGTACCATCTAGTTCTTCTGGACTCATGGCAAAGGAGATAGTTGTTCATGGAGGCAATTAGCCATATAGCCCACATCCTCTTCCTACTCCTGACTCTCCTTTCTGTTGTCCCAGGTGAATAGAGACCAATTGTTTTGCCTTGGATGGCCACTTGCAAGCTTTTAAGACCCCAGGCACTATGCAATGAACTAGGAGACAGAACAGAAGCATTAAATGTCATAGAGTGTCCTAAAAGTCAGTACAGTTTTATGCTTTTATAATTTCAGAAGTATAAATGCTATAAAATTACCCAAAAAGTCATTTGAAAGTTTAATCATTTCTATTTCTTTGACACTTGTGAAATTTGCCATCTTAACCTTTAATCAGAGAGGCTGAAGCAGAAAATTAAAACTTTAATATTCAGAATTCACAAAGCTTAATGACAAGCCAGACACTTGGAAGCTATCTATCCCATTATCTTCTTTTCCTTCACATCTCAGGTTCCCACTGCCTTAGGCCAAGCCTCATCATTTCTTCCTGGACTTGTTTGTTTGAAGTAGCCTCTCTACTGTTTTTTTTTTTTCCTTACTAAGAGGACTCAACCAAAAAAAAACCAAACTCACTGCCACTGAGTTGGATCCAACTCATAGCAACCCCTCCTTGGGTTTCTGAGGCGGTATAACTGTGCAAGTAGATTTCCCCATCTTCCTTCCAAGGGGTGGCTGGTGGGTTTGAACCACCAGCCTTCTGGTTAGGAGTCAAATGCCTTAGGTGCTATCTCTCTCCCACTTGCACTGAAGCCTCTGACTTTCCCATATGACTCTCTTCAGTCTCTGTTTGCCACTGCCCATTCCAAACTTTCTTGTTCTGGCCTGGTGTCCTGTTGCTTCTCATCTGGCTTCTGCCTCTGTGCCACACAGGACACGGACATTTCTGAAGGCCTCATGCCAGGCCACCACCACTTGGCAACACCTGTATCCAAGTTGTCAAGGCCTACTTCAAATTTATAACCACAAACAACTGGAAACTACCTAAGTATCCAAGAATAGAGGTGTGGTCAAATTGGCTATGGTAACTTCCCTATGGCATATTAGGTATCATTCAAAATGATGTTGCATCAGACTATTTAATAACATGAGAAGATAGTCTTGATGTAGGAAAACCTGTGAAAGCTGGAACATATGTTAGGCAGAGACCTATCGGAGAAGGAAAACTCAAATATTTTCCACCGATAGAGAGCAATAGAAAAGTGATAAGACTGCACCCTGTTAAAGTGGAAAACTTGAGAGACCTGTAAAAACAAGATGGTCCCATTGAGTTCTGGCTCTCACAGGTTTCACTGTATATTAGGAAAATAAAACTGACTATAACAACAACAACAACAATATAAGATATATTTTGTTGTGTATATTTTTATCATAATTAAAAAAAGAAAACTGATTGTAAGATACTATGTAAGTATGGTTCAATTTTGCCATAGAAATGTGCACATGAAAAAAAAACCCAGAAGGTTATAAACCACAATTCTTAATGACAGTTATCTCTGAGTGAAAGGATCCTGGTTGATAACTCATTTTCATCATTTTGCTAATCTACATATTCTTATTTTTCTTCAATGAACATTGGTTGCTTTTTTTTTTTTTAATGTGAAAATAAAAGATCCAACTCCAGTGTTTCTTCTGGGAATCTTTCCTTTTTGTCCCACTTGTGTGACCACCCCCTCCTCAGATCACTGTCGTACCTAGTTCAGAGTTCTAGTATTCTAGGCAGCACACTGTATTTAATTAGTTGGATGAGTGTCTCTCTTCTCCAGATTTTGAGCTCTTGGAGAGCACAGATTGTTACTGTACTTTACTAATCTGTTATCTTCAGGGCCTGCCATAAAATCAGCACTCTATAAATGCTTATGGAATGAATCATCTAAAGGGAAAGATGTTGTTATTGGCTACTGTCAAGGAAGCCCTGACTCATGGTGCCCTGAGTGAAGGCTGCCCTGTGTTGCGCCATCCACATGATTGGTTGGGGAGTGGGTCTTTGAGATTCAGATGGTTTTCATTGCCAATTTTCAAAAGTAGATCACCAGGCTTTTCTTCCTGGTCTGCCTTAATCTGGAAGATGTGTTGAAATTTGTTCAGCATCATAGCAACACACAAGCCTCTACTGACGGATGGTGGTGTCTGTGGTTGGGTGCATTGGCTGGAATCGAATCTGAGTCTTCCACACGAGAGGCAAGAATTCTACCAACGAACCACCACTGTCTCCCTGAAATGGGGGAGCTAGACACATAACAACACTATATGATCAATATTGCAACAGAGGTGGAGGAACTGGATTGGGGAAGTTAATAGTTTTGCTGAAGTTGGAAGACGGTTAGAGAAAACTCCTATTTTATGGTCAGATTGTGGTTTCCGGCCAAATGCCTGTTCTACAGGAAGCCAGTTCTACATGTTCCAGACACATGTGTTGTTGTAAGGTGATGGAGAAAGATCTCAGGCCCAAGGACATTCCCTGCAGTCATCCCCATCAAGAGAATGCCTGAAGTAGGTAAGAGGACAATTTCTTGGACAGAGGCAATGTCAAGGCCAAAGGGGTGGTCTCTCCAACACCCTGCTACCACAGACCACTGCAATCCACACTCTTATGAATGCCCGCTTATAGACTGCAAGCCAATACTTAGTATGGCTAAATCCTCCCAGCTTATTCCAGAATGGCTCAAACATCTGCTCTTCCACAAGCATGGTTGTTCTGATCACCAATGACAACATCTTTACATGTTATTATACCTTTTCAGGCTTTGAGGTTTCTTCCTCTGTAAATTATCCATTTATTGGCAGTTATCTGTGAGGGTTTTAAAATGTGCCCACAAATTCTTTGCCACTTCTCTCTTCATGAACTAGATCTTAATTCCCTGTCTCTTGAGTGTGGGATGTTCTTACATCTTAAGAAAGTTCTCTTCTATTCCTTAGTTTACAAAGAGTGTTTTTTTTTTTTTTAAATCATCAATATGTTCTGTACTTGATCAGATGGTTTTTCTATACCATTTGGGTTAATCCTATGATTTTTTCTCCTTTTGGTTATTAATATGATGATACTGATAGATAAAGGAAATAAAAAAAAGGAAGACTGTCAAGAGAGGAGCAGAAGCAAGTGGCTGCCTGACACCCTGAGGGAGGCTGGAGGGGAACTAGAGTCAGTGTGAAGGTAGAAGTGTGTCTGGGCCGTCACAGAGACAGGAGAGGCTGCAGGACAAGGCAGGACCACGGAAAAGCACCATCCACAAGGTCAGACAGTGCAGAGGAACTTAGGCAGACAGAGGATGTGGGTCTGATTTGGCAGTGAGGAGTCACTTATGACCTTGAGCTTTGAGCTCCTGGCATGAGGCTTAAAGAAAACGCTTCTTCTGCTCAGGAGATTCCAGCTCATGGAACCCACAGAGAGGAGCTGGGAGAGGGGAGCAGTGGGGGTACTCACAGAACCACACTGAGGGGCCTCAACACCTGTGCATGCTGACTGCCATCATTCACTTGAAGGCTCTTCACACTGTGGCAGAATTTGAGGCAGAAACTGAACACCAGGAGCTCCATGTCTGTGTGAACACACATCCTCGCTCCTTGAAAGTGGGCCATGGCTTGTGTCAGAAATGCCTCATCCTGAATCTCATACAAGCAGTGGAGCAACTCCAGGGAGTATGTCTCTGAGGAGGAATCTTTGGGCTGGACTTCTTCTTCCACCCACCGCAGCAGTTCCCACTTGGGCTTCTGAGACAGCTGGCAATTGAAGATGTTTTCTATCTCTCTGGCCCCATGCTCACTTAAAAGGCCGAAGAGGAAATGTGTGGTTGGCATGCCAAACAGGTCACGCCTTCCATACACTTCTAGCAACTTTTTCACACCTCTGATGCTATCAGGATTATCATCACTCCCCTCTTCCTGTCCCCCCAGTGCACAGAAAACTGCTGCCAAGAACTCCTGGAAACACAGATGGCTGAAGCTGTAGCTCAGAAAGGTGGGGTGTTTTTGAAGAACACTTGTCTTGAGGAAAATGGAGATGATAGCTCCATCTAACCCATGTTTCCTGAGGTCCCCTGAACTAAACAGAGTCTTTCCTTGCCAGGTGCTGTCAGCAGCCAGAGAACACAAGGCCCTCAGCTGGGTTCCTAGGGGCTGAGCTGGGAGAGCCTGGGACAGGTAGTGCAGGCAGAGGGCCGTAGTGGTCTGGGAGGTCAGTGCAAGTTCTTCTCCCTGCTCCATCTGGAGCTTTAGGCAGGTGCAGACAAGCCTGGACACCCAGGGCCGGAGGCACATGGTCAAGAGGCCATGGTTTGATTCAACCATGCTGAAGGCTCTGGCTGCTTGGTTTTCATCTGGGAAATATTTGTAGAAAAAATCCTTCCTGCCAGCCTCAGAGAACCCCAGCACCTCCACCCAACGTGGTTGCTTCAAAGAAGGAATGAGTTTCCCTAGAGCTGCGGTCCTAGCTGTGATCAGCAGGGACACCTCGGGCAGTATGGTTCTCCCCAGCAAACTGCCCAGAAGCGTTTGCACAGACTGCTGCTGGCTCCAGTGCAGACACAGCTCAGATGTCTGTTCTTCAAAGACCCATTTTGGCTCATCCAAACCGTCCAGGATGAAGAGCAGCTGCTGTGGCTGAGATAGGATCTGTCTAATGTGAGCCAGAGGGGCAGCCCAATCTTTGGTGATGAGCTCGGCAAGGCTCACCATCTTGGACGGGGCCAGCTCTCTGCAGTCCAGGTAGAAGACATGCCGGAAGCGATCTTTATACAGCTGGCCCTGCTCCCAGGCTCTCCTCACCTGCCTGGCCAGGGTTGACTTCCCAATTCCAGCAGTCCCCTGCAGTATGACTGTGTGAGGCTCTTCCTGGGTGTTCAGGCTTGGGCCAAATAAGTCTTGGACTTCAATCAATTGTCCGTGCTTCTCCACCACCTCATGATGCCAGCTTTCCCTCAACAAGGGCTCATGGCCTCTGGGGTGAGGTTTGTGTAGAAGTAGCAGCTGTGTGAATTGTTGGTGTAAATCTTCATTTTTCCAAGACTGAGAATTCTGACCTTGTGTGGGGCAAGTCCTCTCTTCCTTCTGGTTCTCATAGCTTTCTCTATCTCCTAAGTAAGAGAGGGAAAGATGAAACATAAATGTATAGAATAGATTCGTTCAAGTTTTCATTCATTCACTCAACACTGTTTTAGGCACTCACTCTATGCCATACATTGACTGCAGACACTGGTACATTCTATCCAATGTAATGAAAGGAGCATGACCTTTCAGGAAGATCTCCATTCAAGTCTCGACTCCCCCAAGTCACACTCCTTATATGACTTTCTTTCATTCTGCAAATATTTATCAAGTGCTTACTATGGGCCTGGCACTGCTCTAGGGGCTGGGGATAAAGAATGAACAAATCAGACGTAGCTCTCTGCCTTCATTAAGCCCATGATTTGGGAAATTAGTCCTGTTGAAATTCTGTTTTCTCATCTTTAAGTTGGGGATTGTGATATTTCTTTGTAAGAGGTCATGGAGGATTGGCTGGGCTTCTGCAGGCAGGAAGTGGGCCATGGAGCCGTGTGGCTGCAAATGTCTGTTGGGCTTCAAGAAAGAGATGACAAATGGTGTAGTAGATGTTATTGGCTTCTGACAGTACCCCTTCTGCACTCACCATCCAGTACATGCTTATAGTGTCCTTCTACATGCACCCATGATTCTCTGTGTGAGGGCTCTGTCTTGGCCCATGAGTGGAGCAGGCCAGAAACACTGGGGAATTAATGCCTCAGAAAGAGCCCTTGACCAATAATGGAAGAGAGCCTTTTGTATCCCGAGAACAGACAACTCTGCGGTGTGCTCTACATAGGCTCCAAAGATTCCCAGCAGGTTTGAACCTCAGCTGTTCAGAGGTAACCTGCTCCATAATGCACAATATGCATTATGTTTGTCTGGCTTCCTTCCCTTTCCTGTCTCACTGCTCCACTCCTGGCTGGAATTTTCAGGAAATCATCTCCTAAACAAACTATCTGCAGTCACATTTTGTGTCAAGGTCTGCTTCTAGGGGAACCCAACCTAAGACTTATCATATATAATGTAAAGATAGAGATGGGAAAGTGCCCTATGAACTATGAAGAGCTGAGCACATGTAAGGGATTGTCCATCATTTCATTTAGGGTGGGTCTTAACACAATTTGAGTGCTATCCTTATAAGAAGATATACAGAAGAACATAAAGGTGAAGATGGCCATGTGAAGAGCATGTACAAGCTAAAGAATGCCAGGGAACTCCTGGGGTTACTAGGAGCAAGAAGACAAGGAAGGGTCTCCCCTAGAGTGAACAGAGACAGTATGGCCCTGCTCATGCCCTGAAATAGGACTCCTAGCCTCCAAAATAACGAAATAATATATTTCTGTTCTCATCAGCCACCCAGTTTGTGGTATTTTGTTATGACAGTTCTAGGAAACCAATACAAACCCCTTTACTCCTTTCCTTCAAAGTATTTTGAGTGCTTTGACTTCTTTCCTTAGGTGGATTTTAAAGATGATACAAATGACTTATCTGGGATCCTGAAGTCCAGTTTGTCCTGGGAAACAGCTGGGCTTCTAGGGTTCAAGGTTTTCTGTGCTACCATTTTTGGTGTCCTGAGGAAAATCAGTGGGGCCTATGGGTCACTTCATGTCTCCAGCACTAGGTGAGACTGGGGTGTCAGACAGCCACCTCCACTTCTGAAATAATCTATAGATATTCTTTATTCTCTCCTGTGGGAATATTTCTGGCAAGGTGACAATCTTCTAAGAGCATCAGGATGGTCACATTGGATAAACACCATGACCTGCCCTGCTCAAGGTGCTGTCCCTGCCCCAGGTGCCAAGAGAGGGTGTAGCTCTTCTCAATGTCAGTTCTCCAAAACGTTCGGGTTTTCAAGGATCTGTTACCACATGTCTCCATCCTCTTGAACCAAGTTGTATCTTAACCCTTCCCTGTCACATACTTCTAACAAGTTACATTTTAAGGCTATGCTCTTGAGCAGAGGTAGGCAAACTATGGACCCTCGGTCAAATCCAGCTCATTACCTGTTTTTGTCCACCATATGAGTTAAGAATAGTTTTTATATTTTTAAATGGTTGGAAAAATAATATTTTGTAATGTGAAAATTACACAAAATTAATATTTCAGTGTCCATAAGTAATGTTCTATAGGAACTCAGCCACACTCTCTCATTTGTGTATTGTCTATAGTTGCTTTCATACTATGATGGCAGAGTTGAGTAGTTGCAATAGAGACAGGTTGGTCCACAAAACCTAATGTATTTACTATTTTCCCTTCACAGAAAAAATTTGCTGATCCTGCTCTTGACTTGTATGAAGAATGTATAACGTGTTTTTTGCACTTACCATAACACCACTGCTGGGGATATTATTTTGTTCAAGTTCTCCACTTGAGAACTAATTCTCTTAGAATTTAGAACCAGGGGAAAATGTGTTCCTCTTGAATCGGTCTGTTCTCTTCTAATTAATAATGAACCTACCCACTGCCATCGAGTCAATTTCAACTCATAAAACCCTATGGGACACAGTAGAAATGCCCCATAGGGTTTCCAAGGCTATAAATCTTTACAGAAACAGACTGCCTCATCTTTCTCCCATGGAGCAGCTGGGTTCAAACCATTGACCTTTTGGTTAGCAGTCAAATACCTTAACCACTGCTTCACCAGAGCTCTTTAATAAGTAATAACCACCTCCACCCTGCCCCCCCCAAAAAAAACCAAACTCCCTGCCATCGAGTCAAATCTGACTCATAGCAACCCCCGTTGGGTTTCCGAGGCTGCACATCTTTACAGAAGTAGATCGCCCCATTTTCCTTCCACAGAGATGCTGGTGGGTTTGAACTGCTGATCTTCTGGGTAGCAGCCAAATGCCTTATCCACTATGCCACCAGAGTGTCTTAATGAATAATAGCTATTCTATTATCCATCATATTACCCTTTTGCTCTGGTTACTAGGATGCTCAGAACCTAATTGAATGTTTAATTATACCAATCAATCAGCCCTCATGGCTTTCATAATTGCCTTCTCATTTTTAAGGCATATGTTGTTGTTGTTATGTGCTGTGGAGTTGGACCCGACTCATAGTGACCCTTCCTTGGGTTTCTGAGGCAGTATCACTACGGAAGTAGATTGCCCCATCTTCCTTCTGAGGAGTTGCTGGTGGGTTTGAACTGCCAGCCTTCTGGTTAGCAGTCAAGTGCCTTAGGCACTATGCTACCAGAGCTCCTTTTAAGGCATATATTAAGGTTCTAATCATATTGTATATTTCTGTGAGATGCTTCTAACCTTTCTTCCTTCTCTTCTCACCCTCCTTTCCCTCTCTCTTCTTCTCTCTCCCTCCCTCTTCCTCTCTTGCTTTGTGTTTTTCTTTGTGTTTTTCAATGGGAAATGGTGTGACTAATCAGTCAATTGAAATACTTTGGGCCTGGATCATATTTTAGGACCATAAGTTGCATGAATTTACTCCTAGCTGGTTGCAGAAGGAATCCTTTTAACTTAACATCTCTCAGATTTCCAAAGGGGTCATCATCTAGCATTGACAGGCAGAAGACGCCAGTAGCTAAGATCGTGGGCTCATGTGCCTATGTGCCTGTGGTTTCAGTATGACTGTTCTTATTGACCTGATGGAGGAGGGAGCAGATTGTAATGATTAAAGGTATGGAATGTAGCATTGGAGAGAGTAGAGGCTCTGCCACTTACTGGCTGTGCAATTATGAGCAAGTTTCTTTACCATTTTGAGCCTCATTTTTCTCATCCCCAAGATGGGTTTATTTATCTCATGGAGTGGCTGTGAAATTCAGGCAGAAGGTGTAAGTGAAGCACTGGGCAAAGGCTTGACACAGAATGAGTGCCCAACGAATCTGTATTGCTCTAGGCCACTTGGGTTGTGACGGGCTGAAGTGGACCTAGGCCAGTGCCCTGTCCAGGAAACCAGGTGATGTGTTGCCTTTATTGGACAATACACTTGGATTTTAAAACAGGGGTCTCCTGTAAACAGTACCTTAATCCAAAGGAGAGACTCCAATGGTGGGGGTTTAGAAGAGATGTTTCAGTTGATTGCCAAGCCCTGCTAATCCTGACCCTCATCCATCCTTGAATGATGACCTCCCATTCCAGGAGAATTGCTTTGTGCGCAGCTGTCCAACCCAGCCCCCTGGGGATTCTTTCTACACTCTCTTGCCTCACCCAGCCCTCTCCAGGAGTCCAGCAGGGTCTTACCTGTGCAGCACTTTGCAGATATTTCATCCAGAGGCCACCCAGTCCTAGGATCCTCTTGCTCTCTGGGTTCTGTGTTGGCCTGAGGTGGAGGCTCCCAGTCTCCCAGCACTGCTGTGGATGTGGGGGCACTAGGTGATTTTTGGCTTGGAGAGTTGTGAGCTGGGGAGCATGTGAAGAGAACTGAAGGATGGTTTTGTGGGGAGAGTGAGAGGACAGAAATTACTGAGTATTCATTGTGTTTCAGGCACATGTATTTTGAATTCACATAAATAATCCTGTTATATAGGTGTTGTAATCCTATTTTTAAAATTACATAGAGATACAATTTTATTCTCTTAGTAGCTAGTCAGAATCTTCCTTTTGGTGAGGAGTATAGTGTATATCAGGTAGAAAGATTTTGACAAGCCACTTGGAAGGTTGAACTCCACATTCCAAGTAACAATAAATAGTTACTATGTGGCATCTAAGGAGGGTGGGTCCTGTTTAGTGGCAGTCACTATTTTACTAAGCAACGAAACTCATGAGGCATACAAATTGGGGGCAGAGCGGAATTGCTCTGTGTCTTAGAGAAAGGAAGAGAGTGAAGCTAGGCATGGAGAAAGAGCAAGAGAAAGAATGCTGGTGGGGGTATAAGAGACAACTACTGTGGAAAGAGATGGGAGCAGTCTGATTCTCTCCTAAAATATCTTCAGCAGAGCATCATGCATTCAGATATAGATATCTATATCTGTTTTTTTTTTTGTGTGTGTGCAAATGGATTTTTTTTGTGTGTGTGTGTATCTTGGAAAGGTGCAAATTCTATATTGTGGGTTGGGAGGTGGTGGTGTGAACTGAGAAAAATGATAGTAGTATGAAGGCTCAGATGAGGTAATTGAGACACAGAGGGATGAAATTACTTGTTCCAGGTCATACAGCAAGTGGGTGAAGTCAGTATGAAGTCTGAGGCCAACTGAGGTTGAGCTTGTAACCATTTCTGCCAGGGCCTGGGAGAGGGAGGGGTGAGAGGGGGCACAGAAGGAAGAGAGAAAGAAAGGAAGGGGCAGGGGGAGCTGGAGGTGGGAGACTTTCACAAAGCAGTAGCAGGGCGAAGGGGGTATCACTGCACCAGGAATGTGTTATGCTGGGTTCTCGTCCTGGCTCTGCCTTAAGTGCTGCATGAAGTTGAACAAGTGATCTTTCCTCTTGAGCCTTTCTGTAGTGGGAAAAGATGGCCACTTGTTGTTGGCATGAGAAGACGAAGAGGCAAGGGTGTAGCCAAGGTTTGCAGCCTGGGTGGCCCAGAATCACAGATACAGAAATAAGAGAAGTCAGGAGAGGGAAGTGGCATGGGCTGAGGAATAAGCCTAGCCTTGGGGCCCTGTACAGAACAGGGTCATACTTGGAACTTTCTGGACTACTCTGACCCCAAGGATCCCCACAGCCCACTAGATAATGAGCTGAGCTCTACCTGGGCAAGGACATGTCTCACATGGCTTCTAAGACTTACTGCCTGGCCCACATGGGTCTCAGTTTCAAATGGGAAGGAGTGTAATCTTATCATCAGAAGGACCCTGAAGTATCATTGATAGGTCCACTGCTCCTCCCACCTCATCCTGGGTCCTCCTTTCCTCCTCTGCAGTTCCTCCAGCCCAGGTCCCCGTGCGAGTACATACTCACCTGGTTGGGGCCCCACCTGCTGACTCACAGCCCCACCTCTCCAGCTGTGTCCACGTGTGTCAGGCAAGAACTTCAAACTCTCTCTCTCTCCCTGGAGGGGTACAAGTTGGTCAGGGACCCACACTTTTAGTACCTCGGTGGAGGTGGGCCAGCTGGGGGACTCCAGGTTGGGGGTACTCGGGGAGCCAAGAAATGCAGAAGGGTCTTCTGGAAATAAAGAGGATGGGGGCTTGTCAGAGGGGTAGGGGCAGGGGACTGAGACTGGAGTTCTTCATGTTAGGTCTCCTGACTCCCCCAAGAAGGGTCAGCAGAAACCAGTGAACCCCTTGTAACCCTCTCACAATCCCCTCGGCAGGCTCATCTGGAGAATGATGTCCTCACAGATACCAATGGGCAAAAAGGCCTACTCTGGGATCCAAGAAATTTATGTCTCTGTCTTGACTCCGGTCTCTGGGTGGTGCAAAAGTTTTGTGCTCAACTACTAACCAAGAAGTTGGCAGTTTGAATCCACCCAGAGGCACCACAAAAGAAAGTCCTGGTGATCTGCTTTCATAAAGATCAGGGGCATATCTACAGAAAATAGTGTCTATGGTGATTAGTTTTAAATTGTTGTGTGATCTCTCACAGCTGGCAATGGAAACTGGAAAGAAACTGCTCATTGTCATCACCCGCCCCCCTCAAGTGGCACCCAGGGCACTTGCCTTACTTCTCATACCCTATATACACCTCTGGTAAAGATTATAGCAAGAAACCCTCTGGAGCCTGGTCGTACTTTGTAACTTATGGAGCTGCTGTGAATTGACTGCAGCATTGGGGTTCGCCTGGGTGCTGACTCCACCTCTCTTTGTAAGTCACTCCTCGTCTCTGAACCTCAGTCCTCTCAGATGGAGCTAAGAGCTTCTCACTATGGCTCCTCCTGCCCCCTTTGCAAAGAGAAATAATAAAAATAAGAGCAGCAACAATAATGACAACAAGAGCTCTTATTTATTAAGCACATACTATGTACTAGAACCAAACCAAACCAAACTCACTGCCATCAAATTGATTCTGACTCACAGTGACCCCCTTAGGGTTTCCAAGGTGGTAAATCTTTACGGAAGTAGATTGCCTAGTCTTCCTTCTATGGAGTGGCTGGTGGGTTTGAACCACCAACCTTCTGGTTAGCAGTCAAATGCCTTAGGCACTGCGCCACCAGAGACTAGACTCTGCTGAATGTCTTCATTGGATTATCTTTTTAACTCTCACCCAATCCTATGATTCAGGCATTATCTCCATTTTATAGCTGGAGAAACAGCTGGAGAAAGAGTAGTGAAGTGGCTTGCCCAATGAGTTGAGCAAAAAAGTAGTCCAACGAGGACTGGAACCTGCTCCTGCCCAACTCCCAGTCTGTACTTATAATTCCAACAGCAAGCAAGTGCCTGGCTCAGGGGCTAGGCGAGAAACCCATATTATCCAGAGCCTCCTTCTCAGCCTCTGGGAGCTCCCTCCCAGGTGCTGTGAAGATAGGAGAGGTTATGGGCCTCTAGGGTCCAGCAAGAGACTCTGAGCAGGACTCCCTGTACCAGCCTAGTCTGTGGTCCCTGCCGCTGACCAGGGGAGTCCCTCATCGCTGCCCAGAGAAAGGCTTGGTGGGATGGCTCAGTGGGGGGTACTCTGAGAGAAAAGGGTGGGGACTAGGGACTCACAGTGGGCAGAGGCCCCTTTGTCCACTTACCTGACATCAAGGTCACCTCTGCCCAGGCCCGAGAGCACAGCCTGCTCAGACCCATCTTCTCCCAGGTGCGGAGGGCCAAGTCCCAGGCCGTCTTCTCCCCACACTGAGCCACCAGGTCTGAGGCCACCTCCGTGCCCCCTGCCTGAGCAGAGGATGCACCATGAGGGCCTCCACCGAGTGCCTCTTTGGGCAGCCGAAGCAGGAACTCCTTCATCTCCTCTTTACTTAGTTCCTCCAAGTACCAGGCCAGCTGTCTTTGGACTCTGCCAGCCATCTCTGCCCCAGGAGGGCTCTGGGGATGTTTGGAGGGTGGGGTGGCAGGTGTCAGGCAGGCAGAGAACAGTAGTCTACCTTCGCCTGGGCCCTTACAATCTCCCAATGCAAGATCCCCACTGTGATCATTCCTCTTTTTCTGGTAAACTATTCAGCATCCAGAGGCCAGTTTTGTAAATGCCAGGGCAACTGCTAATAGATGGTGTTGGGAGGAGGAAGGGGAAGGGGAGTGGTAGGAAAAGCCACAGGAGGGAGGAGCCGAAAGAGGATTGGAAGATGCTGGAAGAGGTCAGGCTGTGACAGGTGGTGCTAGAGGTGGAGTTTAGGGCCAGGCAGAGATGGAGGAGTGGGGAACGGAGAATGGGAGAGCAGATGGGTGCACGGGACACTCACAAATCTTATTTATTGATTTATTTTTAAACTTTTCATTGTGGTTTGGGTGTAAGTTTAGTGAGCTTCCTTTCAACGGTTCATACAGTTCATTTTGTTTCATGACACTGATTGCAGTCCCCACGACATAACAGCTCTCTTCCCACTTCCTCCCTGTGGTTACCTTTTTCCTGTGTACTTTTTGATTTTATATTCCTGCCCTCTGAGCTTTCTCCCCTCACAAATGCTGCCCTTCTGATCTCCCATGATTGATTGTTCTAAGGAGTGCACCTCCCTGGTGTAACTGTTTACCTTGTAGCCCTATCTATTGTTTGGCTGAAAGTTAAGCCATGGGAGTGAGTTTAATTCCAGGTCTGAAGAGTGACTAGGGACCATAGTCTCCGGGGTTTTACCAGTTTCTGTCAGACTAGTAAGCCTGGTTTTTTATGATTTTGAGTTTTGGCCCACATTTTTCACCCACTCTATCTAGGGTTTCCAATTTTGATCCCTTTCTGAGTGGTTGGCAGTAGTGGCTGGACACTACCTAGTTTTCCTGGTCTCAGAGTCGTGGAGGCTGAGGTTCCCATGATTCACTAGTCCGGTGGGTTAATTGTTTCTACGTGTCTTTGATTTTCTTCACTCTTATTTGCCTAGACAGGGAGAGACCAATTGTCGTGTCTTAGATGACTGCTTGCAAGCTTTTTTTTTTTTTTTTTTTTTGCAGTGTTCCCTCCCCTCCCCTCTGCTCTCAAGCTTTTAAGACCCCAGTCACTAGTCATGAAAGTAGGATGTAGAACAATGTTTTTGTGTAGTATGTTACGGCAATTGAGCTCCATGTCCTCTGTGACCACGGTCCTGAGCCTGTGGGCTGGGTGACTCACTCCTTCAAGGTGTCTGTGGCTAAGAAGTTATAACTTTGCTCCCTTTAGCTCTATTATATACATGTATATTTTTATAGCACATAAAAATATGTATGTAGAAATACCAAATGCCAAATCGATATATGATCATGGCTATATTCCCTTTTTCCTACCCACACCTGATCATCTTGCCGGTCTACCTATGTATCCACACATAGACTAATGTTTGTCCTTACTGATAGTGCAGTGTTGTGTATATTAAAACCTATGTATCAACTCATAGACTAAGGTTTCTCCTTACTGATAGTGCAGGGTTGTGTATATTAAAGTGTTTACCTTGTTGTCTCTGTGTCTTGTGCACCTGTCCATGTCTTCCTTTTCCTTAGTGTTATGCTGGTCATTCACTATCAGTATGTTGCCTTTCCCTTCACCCAAATCAATATGTTTCTCTTACCTACCTATAAAGTTTTCCTCCTCTCCTCTCCCATCCCTGGTAACCTACGAAGAAAATTTTCTTCCGTGACACTCACTATTCTGTGTCCCTTGGATTCTTCCCTCTCCTGGGACCTGGGTTCCTGGGACCAACCCTTTAGCCCTAATAATACTGGTTGAGTGGGGTGGGGGACAGGTCAAACTGGGGGTGGGCTTCCAGAGCTGTCCATTTGTAGGCGCTCTTCAGACTCCTTCTGGGACCCCAACCATGGAGAACAGTCCTCAGCCAGCCAGAGAAGGAGCAAACAGCCACTCAGAGGAAACCACATGGGCGTTTCTGACTCCAGGTTCCATATCAGCCCTGTCACAGGCCCAGCCAGGCTGACAACGTACCAGGTGCAGACCCTCATGCACATATAGGTGCATGTGCATGAATCTTCCCCCAGACCATGAAGCCCATTGCCCAGAGCCTGCCCACAGAGCTGGGGGTAGAATCTCCAGGGAAGTGAGTATGTGGCTGGGCTCCATGCTCTCAGGTTGGGTGGGCCCTTGTGTTTGCCAGGGCGGCTGGCTTCTTAATGGGAAGCATTACAGCCAGTGCAGGGAATATCTTTCTTAGCTTCTTGTGGTTTTTGAGGTTTCATGAGCCCCACTGCATGGCCTGCTGTACCAGGAGGAGCCTTGAGGTGTATGGCACAGGCTCATGGTCTGTCTTCCTTGTCTGCTTTGGCTAGTAAACATGCCCCGCCAAAAGCAGAACAACCTGCCTCTTCACCACAAAGCCAGGCCGTAAGGCGAGCATGGTGCAGGCTTTCTTCCTCTTTTGTAGAAGAGGCATAGGTTGGGGACTTCAGGGTAAGGAATGCCATTGCCCAATTGTTCACTGTTGTGTAATAGCCCCAGGAGCTTCTAGAAGATGCCCTGACCTAGACCAGAGGCAGACTGAAGGAGCTTCAGCCCACTCTTTGCTTGGAAACTGACACCCTGTGTGGCTGCTTCATTTCTCTGAGTCTCATTTTGCTTGTCTATTAAATGGGAACATTATTGGTTTGCCAAGAGGCTCAAATTAAACAAAAGCTTTTAGCAACCTTTGAAAATGTTCTATGAATGGCATTTTAAAGCTTTTATTGATAAGCACACACTATAAAAGAAATCAGTTGCCATCAAATCGATTTCAATTTGGGTGCCAGAGTAGAACTGTGCTCCATAGGGTTTTCAATGGCTGATTTTTTGGAAGTAGACTACCAGGTCTTTTTTCCGAGGGGTCTCTGGATGGACTCCAACTGCCAACCTTTTGTTAGGAGCTGAGCATGTTATCTGTCTGCACCACCCAGGGACTCCATCCGGTTCCCTTACCCTGCTTTGTTTTTCTCTATAGCACTCAACCCCATTTGAAGTTATAGGCTTGGTTATTTGTTTATTGTCTGTCACCCATGCCTGCCAATAAAATGTTAGCTCCCTGAAGGCAGGGTCTTAGCCTGTTTTGTTCACTATTGTTTCTCCTGCTCCTACAAGAGTGTCTAAAACAAACAAAAACCAAACTCACTGCTGTTGAGTTGGATCTGACTCATAGTGACCCCTCTTTGGGTTTCTGAGGTGATATCACCATGGAAATAGATTGCCCAGTCTTCCTTCCGAGGAGTGGCTGTTGGATTTGAACCACCAGCCTTCTGGTTAGCAGTCAAATGACTTAGGCACTATGCCACCAGAGCTCCCAAACGCTCACACATGAGCACCTTTGAAAAATTTTATTCTTCTTAACAACTCCGTTCAAACCCACCAGCCACTCCTCGGAAGGTTGGGCAATCTACTTCCATAGTGATACTGCCTCAGAAACCCAAGGCGGGGTTGCTATGAGTCGGTCCTACTTGATGGCAAATAACAACAACTGCTTCAGAAACCCAAGGAGGGGTTCCAGGGAGTCCGAATCAGCTCCATAGCAGTGCGTTTGGTTTTTGGTTTAGTCTAAACAACTACTCACCCAGACCAGTAGATGGCACTCACGTACTTTCTGTGCTTTAAAGAGCGCTCTAACTCGCTGCCCTTGCAATGGCTACACAGAACTCAACAGACCATACTTACAGTTAAGTGGTTTATTAAGGAAGTAACAAGGTACAACTCAGGATCAAGATCAAAAGGCAACTTCTGATTGGGGCCAGAATTAGGAAACACATCAGCGAAGTCTCCCTTTCAGGAGGACAACTCTCTTAGCTCCTCTCAGGCCTGCTGGTCTGCTCTCAACCCTGCCTCCTACCACCATCAATTTTGCCACAGGGCCCTTCTGGGCCTCTTGCTGTTTTCCTTCGTTACAGCTCTTTTAGAAGGTTCCTTACCTTCTCTTTATCTCTCTGCTTCTCATCTTTCTTCCTAGGACTTCTATTCCTGCTTCTTTCTGTCTCTAAAACGTCTGTGGGGCTGGCTGCTTATATAGTCAACTCCTTGCCAATTTCAAGGCATAGCCCCTTCCATACTAACAAATCATGTCTAGATAGGCCACAGACATTTAATTTGCATAGTTGGCTATAGTCACCTTATTTGCATAGTCTGTTGACCAATCCCTGCAAAGTGCAGGCTGCAGGCTAGGACCAGACAAAAGGATCAAACCAAGTTGTTTACAGCTTGTTTACAGTTACTCAGGAAATGCTATTCAAGCTGAACAAAAGTCACAAAACCTCTGGGGAAGAAAACTATGGCAAATGTAACTCCTCAGGGTTTAGAGGAACTGTCTCTCAAGCTGTTTTTCCAAAGAACCAAGGCCAAAGGCCACGTAAAGGAACTTATGTCACCACAGGCGCTTTGAGTCTTGCCCCTTTCCAGATGCTTCAAGGGCGTTTAGGGGCCCATTAAATTTCACTTTTTTTCAAATAATGATAGTTTCTATTAAAAATTCACTGTATGAGAATAAGCCATATGTCCCACATCCCATCAGTGACACTTTATGTTCAAGCTATTGTGATGTGAATTCAAACCTGGACACTTTGGAAACTGACCTCCTCAAAATTTACCTTCTTCCAGTTGTTTCTGGGAGCTTCTCAGGTATTGCCTTATTATCATCCCACCTCTTCTCTGACTACCATGATGTTGTCTCCATGGTCAATTATTCTCCAGAGATTGCAGGGCCCAGTGGTTCTCTGCTGATCCACCAATTCATGTCCTCAAAAGGAAAGGCACTTCTAAGTGTGGGACAGGCTGTCTCCAATTCTTCACAGCACACCTTTGAACCTGACTCTCTGCAATGATCAGGGATAGGAGGAAGTAAGTACAGCACAGGGTTACTTAGAGTGGCTCCTGCAACGCTGTGCCCAGAATCCTCAGGTCTAGGACATACTGCATTCCCTTT